TTTTTTTTTTTTTTTTTTCTGGCTTAAATGATGCCTTACAAAGTCAAAGAGGGGCATGAAAGTATCGTTGTAAACGTCGAAAAGGGGTTGAGTGATTTAAACATTTTTTCAGAGCCAACATTTTTGTATAGCAACGTACGAGTAATTGAAACCTTAAAATCCTCTCTCTCAAAACATAATTATTCGATCTGCCGTGCTTTCTAACTAACGCACAAATGTCATTCGTTATATTTACAAAAGTTTTAAGCCTAATCGGGCCACGGTGAGCTTTTGATGCTCGTTTCAACTTTGTATTATATCGCATTGAATTTCCAAATTTCTTTTTGCAATTTACTTTGAATGAATAATTAACGGTAAAAACAAAGATGTTTGTAAATTCACAGTTACTCGTGGTGTCGAAGTTGGCCCTTTTTTGGCTTATTCTAACAAATTTTACCACAATAAGTTTCGCAAACTCCCAAAAAGCAAGCAATCGAAATGCTTGAACAGAGTAAGTAATCGTCTGGGTTGCAAAAAAAAAAAAAGATATCGCTTTAAAATTTGGTAGAAGCATTGATGCTTGCTACACACAAGCTGACTATAAAAAATCGTCTAAATCGGTTGGACGGTACACACCTACTATCCGTGAGGATAAATCGAGAACACCACTTTTCTACCACTTTTACACACATGCAAATAATCAGCCACACCCACGTAACATTGCAGAATATGATAATTTATTTCCGTCCTTGCTTTATTAGCCTTCTTTGGACCGAGGTGGTGGATAGAAAAGATTTGGTCTCAGCCAAATATAATCAATCTTCTTACTTTGTTTTATTTTTGAATATATATTTATCTATTTTTTTTCTTCGATTTTGAATAAAGCGTAGATGATAGTTCATATTTACAAATATGAGCTATAAACAACATCCTGGCTGGAAGCCTGTAAGGCTAATCGTGGCACGTCTGCTCATGCAAACAAGTGATCCGGTTCAGGTGAGAGCAACAATCTCTACTTAAGCAAAGTTGAAAACTTGGACTTGCTTTTCGAATACTCGCGAAACACGAAAAAGTTGATACCTTTAAGAGTACCCTTCTTCGTCTTTTCCATTTACAGTGCTGCACAGTGAATGATTTTTCCTCTTCTTTTTTCAATTCAAATTTGAATCACCGACATCACGTGTTCGACGTAATAAAAAAAGGTACCTTTTTTTTCTTAATACTTAAATATATGCTCAATAAAATCGCATCGACTATTATTACTTTATTACCTTTTTTCCATGCAAAAAAAAAAAAAAAAAAAAAAATTATGAAAAACCTTTCGCTTTTAGTTTGTTAAAAGGCTGTTATCCCATAAAAACAGTTTTTTTAGGTTTATACGTCGAATAATCAGGTGTGCTTTTGCCAACCTTTTGCTGAGTCGAATTGAATGGAAGTGAACCAACTTGCAACGCTTCGAAATTCTAAAGTATAGATTTTGTTCTCGGAGTGGGCGTACGAAGGCGACTTTCTCTCGAAACTTCTCTCTCACTATTCATTCGCCTTCGTAAGTCCAACAACGCTTGGCAAACGTATAAAGAAGCAATTAAACTCAAAAAGGAAAAAAAAAATCGATGGGATTTTCTAAAGTTGCACGTTCCAGCGCCAGGAGGAATACCTCGATCCTAGGACGATGAGCATATTATTATGCGTCCACAACACCTGCTGGCAAGTTACAATATAGGCGCGAGCAATTAATGAAACTAATATTTTTGATATATAAAGTAATCAGATGACCAAGCCCGAAAAATATTCCTCTTTTCCTCTTTTAGTATAGGAGCCTATCGTGTCATAGCTTTCTTTTCATCCCTTGATGGCCCGTTTAACGGCTTGATATTTAATGGGTTTTTGTAGAACTATCGTGCGTTTGAAAACCATTTTTTACTCAATTTCTTCTTTAAATTTTGCTTTGGTTTTTTTTTTTTGCCCCCTTTTTTAATTCATACTCAAATTACTTTCCACGTGTGTTCATAATAAATGACTAAGCCTCTGGCAACAATGTTGTAATTGTTGACGTTTGTAAATTGATAAAAAAATTTATATTTATTTATTAAAATATCGAATACGGAATGGAATGACGTAAAACGATTCAGCGTAACGTAGAGCCTGTAATAACAAATGCATGCAAAATTTACGATACAATAAATTGCAAACACTTTTCAGTTTTCAATTCGCTTTGTAACTCTCGTTTGGGTTCATAATGAAACGCTCTTAAGAATTGGCCGAAAATTGTTTTCTCGAAGGATAGGCTCATCAAATATGCATTTTTTTTTTTTTTGTTTTAAATGCTAAATAGTGATAGAAGTGTCTTTGATTTGAAGTTTCTTTGATTTTTCAGATATTGGTTCATAACCAATCGTGCATTTAAATATGATTTGATATGAATGATCGATCGTCTCTGGACTTTTGTACAAATTCAATCCTTGATCATCAATTTTTGCCACTTTATCACATGAAACTGCTCTTATCTCACCAATAACACTAGTAGTAGTCCTGGCTCCAACATAATCCTAAAGAAAAATGCCCAACAGAGTTGCACCGCATGGTTTTTGGTGCTCGAGATATATGACAGGTTCTAACATTTTGTTAAGATCACATATAGGCTGAACCGAAGTCGTCTACTTTGTGCCACAAAAATTCAATTATCATGTTCTCGTTGCTTTCTTCGTTGAGGATAAGAGCAATGCCATTGTCATGTTCAAAAGTAATTTCACTTTCAAAAGTTAACTTTTGTGCGTCCGCAACACTTCTCAGATCTGTCAGATATCCGATGTGTTTTCTGTACGCTAAAGGCGCAATAATTCCTAGTTACGAATTCATTTAATCAAATGTGAGCTTCATCGAAACGTAACTTTAGGTTCATTCTTTCCCTAAAAAATTTTAATATACCCTGCACGCTGTACAGTTAGGCACGTTTTGTATTCGATAAGGAATGGTAATAGTCCAGACAATATATTGAAAGAACAAATATTTGATCCAAATCTCAATCAGAAATGTGTTTCATTTATGTTTACTCTCAAAGCTGGAAAATTGGTGGACCTGTAAAACGCTTCTTGTTTTGATTACATTAAAGTGCATTCGCTTCTCAAACCGGCTCGTCAAGTTTGTGTTACGTTCACAACAGTTCGCCGATCAGATTGACGGACTGATTTTTAAATTAATGTGCTTTATGGTCGTGTCGATACAGAAGAACTACAGTGGAGGATATATTATCGGAATTTCAATTTCTTTATATTCTACGACTGCAGGGTATCAGCAAAAGACTGGCAGGCAATTAAAGAGATTAACGGGCACACAGCTGAGCACAGCTATCGGCATATAATGTCAACCTAATTGAAAACAAGTATAAAAATTGTATGCAGTCGGGACGGAATCTTTGGGACTCTTCATCGTTATCTTAAAGAAGACAAGAAAGAGTAAAAGAACTAAATTTTCATACTCCGTAACATGGAGAGGGCTGAGAGCAGCTGATTTTTTATATTTTCAAAATAAAAGTTTTTCTCGCTTACACATGTGGGAGTTGTAGGCGTGTCCTTTCAAAAGTGTGAGTTACTTCCAAAGTCTTTTGCAAATTTGTAGGCGATATTTTCATTTTCGCCAACGGGAAAACCCCGTTTACCACAGATACTGCGGACAAACAGACGGTCATGGTGCATCCCGTATATGAAACAGGCCAAGAGCTTATATATTTTACGAGATTGTTGAACCGTGGTTCTGTGCGTTATACGGGTATTAAAAAAGTTCGATTTTTTCGATTTGCGTACAAACACTACAACATCACCCATAGAGTCGATATTCGAATTTTTGTATCTTTGTCTGCTGTAGTTTATGCGTAATGAGAAAACAAATCAATTTTTTATTTCTTTTGAAAAACAGAAGTTTTCCCAATTTGCGTGGCACTGCAGACGTGTCCTTCGATTGATTTCAATCATTTTCAATATCAACCTGCGTACAAAAATCTCTAATGTTTCTACTAAATTTGAGGTCGATAACTGCATTGTTACGGCCAGGAGAACGTTTACAAAAGACAATGCACAGGCGGACAGATGGACATACGTAAATCGATTTACAATTTGATGCTGATCAAGAATACTATGTGCTTTGTGGGCTCTATGATGCTTCCTAATTGGCGCTGCAAACGTCTTGATAAAATGAATATACTCATCACCCTTCGGTGTTGGGTGCGGTAGTCTCAATGTGTGAGGTTCCTGTTATGTGCGCAACAAATTTACGTATAACTAATAAATATTGTGTCGCAGACGGGAGCAATATGACTTGATCTGGGTAAAATTGTTAACAAAGTATAACAAAAACTTAGTCTTTTTAGTCTCTTTAGATACAGCGAACATCTCACTTACGCTCGCCATGTTTGTGATAATTGCCGCTAGCCATTCCGAGGTTTTATTGAATTTACTAACTGACATTAGCCCAGAATAAGTTTTAAGAGAAGAAGTAAGAGAATGCCGTGGTAGTTTCTGCGAGGAATACTGGCGGATACGGCGAACGACGAAGTGTGTTGGCGACGATGATTGGAAAACCGGAAGTCAATGCTTTGGTCTTACCTTTGCTCTTAATGGAATAGCAATTTTCACTCTGCAGTGCATAGGTTTCAAATGTTTTTTTTTTTTGCGTTTCCATAGGTTGCACGAGGCGGTAAACTGTAGTAGACTCGCATCGGGGAGAAACGTGCTGAAGTGATTAAGACCGGTTGCTTTGCTCCTTGGTTCCGCAATTCAAATTGTTTGAAAAGGGGCATTGAAACACTGATGATCCTTTTTTGTTAGAGACAATTCTACCGTATATGCGTTCCATTTAAGAGTGGCTTAATAATGGACTAAATAGCAATAATTTCGTTTTAAAATAAAATGCCGTGGCTTGGAAGCCGATAGGACGGAAATAGTAGTGAAGATGCGTAGAGGTTTCGAAAGCCCTCCGATAGGTCGTGACATGGCTGTGTGCATTGAAAGGCCAGTTTCTGATTTAACTTAATATTTTGGCAGAATTATTGGTAACTTTCACTAAGGGAAGAATTTCCTTATGTTATTTCTGCCTATCTGTTTAGAGGCTAAGGTGTAGCTTGTAGAAAATCGCAGCTCATAAGAACTACATCCCTAATAATGATTTTTAATGTGATGCCGTCTTCTTAATAAAAAATACTAATATCTTCTTAAGTCCTTATTAGCAGTTTCTACAACATATATAAATACGTTTAAGTATATACCGATAATTGAATGATTTATTTATCTTCAAGGGAAGACAACTTTAATATATTGATTTGAAGCAGTTCGCTAAAGCCCCAAAATCTTGTGGGTAGATGTCACATAAAGCATCGCAAACGTGACTCACTCTCTTATGTGCTTAAATCGTCGTTAATATCGTCACTTTTTCTCATATCATCTGGAACGTAACTAAATACACTTTACAGCAAAGAAAAACAAAATTGTTTTCGCTGCTTTCACTTTATTCACAAAAGGAACGCAATGCATACTCAATCCGCCATTATATGCAAGCATTGAAAATGAAAATGGAATGAATATATATATATATATATATACATATATATATATACATCTGCTTGAATATATGTATAAATGTATATGTATATGTCGTATGTCGTATGTCGTATGTCGTATGTATACGTGTCTGCGTCTATAATATTAACCAAATCACTTAAAATTGTTATATATGTAAATAGATTTATGCTTACAAGCAGGGGGAGAGTGTACATATTTTGCGAAAATGGGCGTTAACTAACTTAAATTAAGAGGCGTTACACACAAGGGTACCCCATACGGTTCAGTCAATTCCTTCATAAAATACAAAGTAAATAGCAACGGTATTGTGTCTGTGTCTATACAACTTCCACCGTTTTATTCATATGAAATTATACAATAGATATATACATATATATTTATTTATATTGCGTATAAATGTGCTTATTGCATGTATTTTATACGTAAAACTTTATATATTCGAGTGTGTGCGTGTGCGGTGTGGTTAAGTCAAATGTATATCATTAGAATCTGAGTAATAATAAAGTCTGCATTGCTTCTCTGACCAGGCAAAAGTATAAACACGAACACACACACACAGACACACACACACACACACACAGACGCATATATTGAAAAATTGTCTATTTAACGTTACTTTGAACTGGGTTGTTGAACACGAAAATGTTTTAAATGACAAACCCATGATTAGTAAAACAAACCGGAGATTAAGTTCACTGTCAGTTGGGGCGACATTCGTTGGCACTGGGATAAAAATATATAAAAAGTGAAAAACAAAGAAGATATTTACAAACGTACAACAAAACATATACCGCAATGCACAAGCAACTTGAACGTAGATGAACTTTCAGGATTGATTTGTTGCATTGAGTATATATATATATTTTACATATATATATATATATATATATATTCATTCATTCACAAGTTTATAAAATTCCATTTTAGCCATTTTGTTGAAGCAATTTTTAAATTGTTACTTGCTGCGTGCCAAAGTAAAATCGAGCCAAGGAGACAATTTACGTTGAAATTAACTATAAGTATATACATTAGTAGTATCTGAAGTGTTGTCGCAAAAACTCCCGGTCATTTACACACTTCTTATATTTAGTTTTCTGTTCAACTCCCCCCACCCCATTCTTTACTTTTATAGAGTTAACTCTTTTATCACCATTTACTTTGCTCGGTGATGGATAGAAATAGTAAGTTTCTGCAAAAGACTAAATACATTATATTAAATATATATATATACTGGGCGCACAGCATGGCGAAAATTTGCATTTTTATATCCACCACTAAGGAGAATAAGGAGTAGGCAATTTAGTCATTTTGTTTGCAACGCTCACACATTACACACTAAGCCTTTCAAGGTATTCATTATACCCGATTGGTGGGGATGTGATATTTCAAGTCAAGCTATGTACCCTTATCTTTCCATGCCCGCAAAGGGGGTCTCATTGGTGCGAAAATGAATATACGAAGTGTAGATTTTATGCCTTTATTCCAACCTACGCTTAGCGAAGAGAATCTTACAATTATTACAATCTAATCAGAAAGGCGCCTACATATAGTCAACGAAGGAGGATAAGACAAAAAAAAAAAGAAAAAAAAAACGATTCTTATTGTCACTGAATCGAAACGAATAACGGCAAATAGAATTTAGCTCCGATATAAAAAAGCATGTTAGGGTCATTTAAAAATTAAGTACAAAAATTGTTTTACCCCTTATCGCATTTTTCGCTCTTATGGAATTAGACATTTTAAGGGAAGCATTGCTTCTGTGCTGATTAATGTATACGTTCGAAGAACACGATGCATTGTTATATTTTATGTTATAACTTTCGAATGATTTTTGGACGGTTTGCTGGGAAAGCTATTAACCTGAGTGTGCAGCCGCACATACACAAGCCTACGAAGCTCTCTTAATACTCAGTCCTTCCTTTTTTGTTTTGTAAATTTTTTGCCGTCATGTTTTAGCAAAAAATGACTCGTGACTTTTCGAAAGTGTGTATATGCTTGCGTATGTGCGCATAAAAACACCGCCCATAAACGGAAATATACTTTCAACTCCTGTGCAAAAGATTTATCTAACTTAAATTGTTTCAGACAATTTTACATGATGGCGGTTGTGTTTGTCTTAATATTTTCCTTCCATTATTATTAACTGGCGATATGTTTGTTCTTTTGTCTCGCTTGTGACATTAACCTAAAGCGTAGGCTTTAGGAATTATTAAGCACAGTCTTTCACTTAATCGCTACGCAGAAGAGTTGAAGCGTTGGCCAAGCCACAGCTGCAGCACAATCAAGGACCTATAAATAACAAATGATCAGCAATGTGTTGAGCCGTTGCTTGTCCTCATATCGAGGACATTTATATCGTCTTTAAATTTTTGTTCGTCAATTTTCACTTATTCCGCGACAAACAGACAGACTATGTACTCTTTGCATTTGCGTCCTCTTCTTGGAAATTGGAAGTCTTGTTATGAGTATATATATATATATATTTTTTTCTTTTTATTATTTTCTGGTTCTCTGAACTATGGCAAACCAATTCCTTAGTCGATTGCTTTCAATTATAATTATTTACCTCTTAATGTGTCTATAGAGCATGTTTCAGCTTTTAACATCAGCTTTGCCGATTCAGCGAATGCGAAATAGAATAGACAGTCCAGTCCGTCTATTCAAAACAGGCGAAAGAGAGACTGCGGATGGCGAACGTATATGGAGAGCGCTAAACATATAGACAGACAGAGAGTTAGATGGAAAGGTTCTTAAAATTCGATAGAGCTAGACGAACGAAAAGCAACTTGAACGAATTGAAAGGTAAGCATGATTAAATTGCTTTAACATCTCTTGAGTAGATCAACAATAATTGCCCCACCGTCACGAATGGGTGCGAAATTAATATTCTATTGATAATATTCTCAATATTTTCTCGTTTTCATTTTTATTGCTAATTGTATTTATTGTTATGAAATTTAGCAAATTCTTTGCTCAAACAAGCTTCCGCTGATCTTTCACAATCATATTCAGCCACACACACGCATGGATGGTGTGCTCTTACGCAAGCAGTTCGCTAACAATGATGAGAGGTATCTAGGATTCGTCTTGACGGTCATGATTTATATGTTATTTCTTCCTTGTTCTTTACACGCTTTCTCTATTTGTATATACGCATTATGTATGTATATGAATGTGTAGTAAAGCGCTTTTTGCTTATAATGAAATGTGTTGATTGTGCGATGCAGTATTAAGATTTTATGTAAATTTAGTTTCTTTTTTTTTTTTTTTTTTTTTTTATTTTTGTTTTGCTTTTTTTTTTTCATGTCGCCTTAATTACAAGGTGTAAAGCTATGCAAATGCATATAATATCGTATGATACTTAATGTTATTCTGATTAGAAAGGGATTTGTTCCTTCTGTATGTCTGTGCTTATAATTATATGGGTTTTAACGTGGAAATTTAAATACGTAATAATATGCTTACTGTTTGTGATATGAGGGGATTACTCAGCCCGGATATTCAGTGAATTTTAATCTTTGAGAAATTTCTCTTTCTGGTAATTAAATATCTTTAAAGCATTCTCCGACTTAATAATAATAAATGGTGAAAATTTTTTTTGTTACGGATTTAATTCGCAAACTATCCAAAGAGATTGCAAGAGAATATAAATAACGGAGATTATTGCCCCAAGTGCAACCAATTTAACAGTGAAGACATACATTTTAAGCAAATAAAGAGAAACAATATATAAAATTAGGAAATTCGCATTAAAATAGTTTCAGGAGCAAAAATATATTAATCACTAAATTGAAGATTCAGCATACGATGCCTTTCCAATGTCCTTACCTCACTCACTTGGACTAATCCCAAAGATAT